TGGCATGTTCAAAACGATTATGTCCAATCAAACAAGGAATCGTGAAACTACCGGGGTCTTTGCACTTGGTAGGTAGTTTACGTTGCAAAACAGCGGACACATTCTCGCTTACCTTAACTACCTCTTTGTTTGCCCTTCTTCTCTTTGTATTGCATAGGTCCTTGAGGAATTTAGCATACTTTGGAACCTGTTTGATTGCATCGAGAAGCGGTATGTTCACTTGCACCTTCCGGAACGTTTCAAGAATGTCCTTCTCGCTTTCTTCCTTTTTTTCTTGCATGAACCTGCGAGGAAAAGGTACATTGGGCAGATTAGGACGTGAAGTACATGAATTTGAACTTAAATCACCTGATTTGACCGAGTTAGGGTAATTGGAGGCCTGCGGCATTGGGTTTTTCACTCTTTCCGTGGGTGAGCTAGACACTTCCTTAGGTTGTGTCGTCTCTTCATCTACTTCCTGGGCAGATTTGGAATTGTTTGGCTCGGTCCCAACTTCTTTTCCACTCCTTAGGGTGATGGCCTTGGCGGATTCGAATCCTCCCTTTGGATTGACTGTGGTTGAGCTAGGAAGCTTTCCTTTATCTCTAATATGTCCAAGGAACTCAGAAATCTGCCCCATTTGTTTCTTCATATCCATCATCTCCTTCTCGTTATTTTCTATCCGGTTGTTTTGATTTTGCAACCCCTGCGAAATAGAGGTTAGTAATTGCATAGCTTGATTACTTTCCAAGGACGTACCTGAATGAGATGATGTCGAAGGTTGTTGGGATTGTTGGGGTGCATACGGCTTGGAATAAAACCCAGGGGGGTTTGGCCTAAATCCTCCTTGTTGGGCAGCTTGTTGTGGCTCCCTCCATTTGAAGTTTGGATGGTCCCTCCATCCGGCATTGTAAGTGTTCGAGTATGGGTTGTGTTGATTTTGTCCTTGGAACCCAATTGCATTGGCAGATTCCCACCCACCATTCTCGATTAGTTGAGGGCACTTGTCGGATGGATGCCCTTGAATTGAGCACACGCCACAAACTTGGTGTTCTTGTGCTTTTGGACCATTCACAACCTGAGAAACAAGAGAAGTAAGATTAGCAAGTTGTGATTGAATTTCAGAAATAGCACTCACCTCATTTACACTTTGTTGCCGTGGGGCTTCCCTTTGGCCCACTCCTTCATATTGTTGAGCGTTGAGTGCTCGGTTGGCTATGAGAATCTTGGCATCCCTTGGTGTTTTGTCCACCAATGCTCCTCCCGCTGAGGCATCAAGCATTTGACGTTCGATAGGAAGGAGGCCCTCATAGAAATATTGAAGGAGAAGTTCCTCCTTCATTTGATGTTGAGGACATGAAGCTACAAGGCCCTTGAAGCGCTCATGATAAGCCGGGAATGTCTCACCATAATTCTGTTGAATACCACTAATTTTCTTCCGTAGGAGAATCACTCTTGAAGTAGGGAAGAATTTCTCCAAGAAAGCACGCTTCATACTCTCCCACGAAGTCACCGTTCCTGGGGCTAGTTCGTAGAGCCAATCTTTGGCCTTGTCCATAAGTGAAAATGGAAAAGCCTTCATCTTCAATATACTCCCATCCACAGTGACGGGGGTCATGCTCGAACAAACCACCTCGAACTCCTTCAAGTGTTTGTTGGGGTCTTCCATAGACAAGCCATGGAACTTCGGAATATGGTGTAACAAACTGGATTTGAGTTCAAACACCTCAGTCGTCCCCTCTGCAGCCGTGGGGTATTGGATACAAAGAGGCAATGCATTATCCAAACCCGAGGCCGAAAGCTCCTTGATGGTTCTATTATCTGCTGCCATGGCTTGTTCTTCTTCAAAAATTTGGTCAGTGGGCTTTTCTTCTACACCTACTTCGTCCTCTTCAAGCCCAGGTTGTGGTGGAGGTTGTGGTGGCTCTTGTTGACTCCTCGTTCTCCTCAAAGTGCGTTCAAAATCACCGTCAAAGTCGGAGATGTTCTCTATAATAGGCCGAGAGCTACGAGTCATACACAGTACCTGAAAAACAAGAAAACAAACAAACTAAGAATCTGAAATAAGAATGCACGAAAAACAAAAAAAAATAAAAATAAAAATAAAGAAAAGGGACTAGCAAAGTTGCTAATCCCCGGCAACGGCGCCAAAATTTGATGCGAGAATTATACGCGCACAAATTAAACCCTCTTTTTGACAATTGTAGTATGGATGTAAGTAGGGATCGTTCTGGACCGGGGATTAGGAGGGATTGTTAACCACTTGGATTTGACTTCAAAAACGTAAAAACAAGATAAAACACTAAACTAGACTCAAAGAATGTGAAACTAAACGTTAAAACACTAAGACAAAACAAAAGACTCAAAATGCTTTAAAAACACAAACTAAAATGATTTCTAACTAAATTGAACAATAAAGTAAAGGGGGATTGAGTTTTGGACGGAATTAAACTAAATGAACAAATTGCAATTAAAACATAATGTAAATATGAAATTAATGAAATGGAATGAATGGATGCTAGCCAAGGGGTTTATCTCCACACATGTTACACTTGCATAATAAAAAGATTTCTAATTGCATTTCAATAAACCATGAATTCTCAACGCCCCGGGTTAATTAGGTCCGCTTAAATTAACCGTCAAGTTTTCCTTAAGTTAATGAATTGGATGATTGCATACGACAATCCAAAGCATTCCTCACAAGTTCCCTACATGAATTGCATAATAGAGATACAAGCAAGAATCATTAAGCATCATGAAAACTATAAGTGTTGACGAGGCATTCGTTACTATGATTGCATGAAACTTATGCCAAGAATATGTTTAACACGATTGTTTATAAGCAACCTCCACTACTTGTGAATATAAGTTCATAACTATTACGTGAAACTCACTTATATTCTAGCGTCAAATTCATGCATGAAAATTAAGCGTTCATTCTTAATAAACATACATAAATAGGTTATCAATCAAACAGTTAAACAAATTGAATTCACAACTTATGAAACGTAATTAAAAGTAATCAAATCATATTACAAACATAAACATAGTTTCGAATCACCCCCTAGCTAAAGGGGGTTTAGTTCCTCATAACTTTGAAATCAAAGAAACACCTAAACATTCCAACAACTCAAAACTTTGAATTGTATGAACGTTTAAGCACTCTTTTCTTCCATTTCTCATACGTACAAAACAAAGAGAATTAAAATGAAACTTTGAAATCAAAGAAACACCTAAACATTCCAACAACTCAAAACTTGAATTGTATGAACGTTTAGGCACTCTTATCTTCCTCTTCGTTGTAGCACAAGGTTTAAGGATAGGTTGGTTGGGGGGATGGAAGTGTTGGGGAATTATGGAAATGGATGAGGATTGGTGGAAATGGAAGATGGTTTTTGGATTCTAAGGGAGAAAGGAATGTGTTTGTGGTGTGTTGTTGTGTTGTGAATGATAGCTAGGAGAATGATTAAAGGGGTGTGAATGGTTGGAAATGCATGTGGGTGAATTGGTGGTGCAATGATGAAAAGTGAATAAATAATGCATGTAGGGTTAGCTAGGTTGGCTTTGTTTGGGTGCATGTGAGTTAAAGAGGGAGAATGTGGTGAAATGATGAAGTAGGAAGGTGGAAATGCATGTGAGATGTTGGAAAGGAAATGGGAATATGAGTGCATGTGGGTGAATGATTTGTGGTGCAATGATGAAGAGTGAATAAAGAATGCATGTAGGGTTAGCTAGGAAAGTGGGAATGTGGTTGAATGATTAAAGGGACATGCATGTGGCTTGTTTGATTGCTTGGTGAGATGATGCATGCTTGTAGTTTAGGGTGTTGAATATGGATTTGCATGGCATTTGAATTGATTGTGGGCTTTGGAATTGGAAGGAAATGCATGGCAAAGGGCTTGGTTTAAGAGAGAATGGGCTAGGCCCTTTGTTTTATGTCCAAAGTGAATACAAGGCCTTCAAATTCGTCCAACATTTTGGCTCCAATCATATGCCATCCATTCCAAGCCCAATTTTGCTCCAAAATGCTCCAAAATGCATCTTTTTTCTTCCTTAAGCCCTTAGAACCTGAAAACACACAAAAGAAGCATAAAGGACTAAAATAACTAGAGAAACATAACGTAAATGCACGAGAACAAGCCATTTAAGTCGCATGAATATGCTCCTATCAGTGGAGCAACGACATCATTTTATCCATTTATTTTGTTTCTGTCTAATAATTTCTAGAAATTATTTTGGCGTCTGATTTTTATTTCTATCTTTAGGAGAATTTGCTAGTTTGATTCTCTTTAGGAGAGTTGCATGATTTAATTTTCGTTTTGATGTGCTACTTCTTTTGGAACTATGTGTGAAGGGTGGAGCTATTTGATTTTCTGAATCTACTTCATTTGGTATTCTAGGATTGTGGCGGTAATTAGGTGATGCGATAGATCCATGGCATCGTATACTCCCTATTTCAATATTTGATTTGTGATTTTCTTCTCACAAGACGAGGTTTTAGGGTTTTATTGATATGTATTTGTAATATTTTTATATTTAGTTTGATCATTGTTTAGTGATTAGTCGTGCTTTATTGTAATATTTTTATATTTAGTTTGATCATTGTTTAGTGATTGGTGGTGCTTTATTGTAATATTTTTTTAGATTTAGTTTGCAAGGACCCTTTGAATTCCGAGTTATTCATGATATGTATTTGTAATGCCGTTTTTTCAATGAATGAGATATCGTACTTTTCTTATAAAAAAACCACTTAACCCTAAGCTTCACATAACTAGAACATCAACTCAGATAATGATACAAAACGTTCAACGGCCATCCCTATAAAATTTAACCAAACATGATGAAATCATTTAAACATTTGATTAATATCGTGAACATTTGATGGTTATTTGAAACAATATAAACTTTTTTTATTGTATTTTGCGAAGGTTAATCTTGCAACGACGACCTAAAAATAAACGATGATAGCGCTTGAACGAATAATAAGCGGTTATGGTGCTTGTATCAGTGTATGTACACGATGCAGTAATACTACTTGTCTTATTGGTAAATCAACCTTGTTCTAAGTGCTTAATACATTATACCTCCTAGGTTTATAGGCCACAAAGGAAAAAAACAAATAAATTAAAACACACTGGGTACACACACACACACACGCGCGCGCGCGCGCGCGCACATATACGTACATACATACATACATATATATATATATATATGTATATATATAGAACTTCTGCAGCTTAATTATGACATGCTTCTTCACACACGATACTTAAGGTATCCCAATGATGGGGATGAAAGGAATATAATAGCTTGAAGGTGCCAAACCCCACTCTGGTGGCAGAGGCACATTGATAGTCTTGGATGAGCCAAACTTGTTCATGGCTTTACAGGCTGCATCTTTGATGTTCAAAGGGCATGATGTGGAGAAGCCAAGAGGAGTTGTTGTGGTATAAGAGTTGGAGTCTTGGATCTTGACAATCTCAGATGCCATGAACTTCCTGGAGGCATAGAGCTGATCTGGTCCTCCAAGAATCCTGGCAAGGCAGTTCTTAGCATCTGGAGATTTAGTATTGTTGTTTGAGGGGAGCTTTGCTTCAAAAGAGCCGTCATTTTCTGTTATTGCCATTGCCATCTTTTTCACTTTATCACACTTCACCAAAACCTTGATTCCTGAAACATATAACGCATGAAGTAATTAAATAAGAATTTGGTCTACTTTTTAAAAAAGGCTAATTTGGAAATCTGGAAGAAATTAGCCATTTTTATAATAGCCTAAAGACTATTTAACCCTCCTTTTGTCATCTAGAAATAAAACGACTCAGCTGCCTAAAACCAGTCTACTAGCTAGTAGCTATCTCTACTGGTAAATGGAAGGTGTTCATTAAGTTCGACTCTCCTGAGGTCGATACTAATTTATTATGGCTGAGGTTTTGTGTCACCTAACAGTAATACTCACACCTCCTCAAGTACGACTCGCCTCCTTGAAAATTTTTCTTTTTTTCTCTTCAAACAATTTCAATTTTTTGCTCAAACTCGCCTTCTTGAAAGAGTACTCGAACTCCCTCAAATAATGCTTGGACTCCCTTAAGTAGTGTTAATCGAACTCCCTAGAGTAGTTAAAATTCTAGAATTTTAGAAAATTGGACAAAGAATTCCACATTTGAACACTAGGGTTTCTTGAACTTAAAAATTAAGTTGGGACTAAAATGAAAAAAAATAAACAAAATATATAGAGTAGAACTAAAAAAATTAACAAATGGAACCTGAGAAATCATAATTTTGATGGCAGTCAAGGCAAGTGACCTTGGCCTTCAGAACTTGGCATGTGGAGAGTTCAACATTTGCAAGAACCAAAGCAAAGAGAAGTGCTGGGAGAATCCAGGAAAGCGCCATTGAAGCAAACTAGTCACTCACTCACTCACTCTCTCACTTACAGAAGCACAGGAATTAATTTGAAGAAAAGATGACTGCATGGAAGCTTATAAAAAGAAGAGGAGAAGGCCATATTAAATATATGACCCCACTGAGTGAGATTAGTAGTTGGCTCTGCGTGAAGGGCTTTTAATTGTACTTCGTCCAAGTTTATTGGCATGTGAATTTCTTTTACATCAGAGGCTAGTACGCACTGATATTTTGGAAGGTGAAGTAATGTAGATATTTAATCTTGACAGAAAGTTTGGTGCATGATGTTGAAAATCCCACATCCGGAGTAATGACGAAAGAATTTACAACTTATAATCATATAGTCCCATTCTTAATTACAATGATGACTTTTAGTATAAAACTCTGATCTTGTTGGGCTACTAGGTGATCAAATCAGTGTTGGACATTGGCCCTTCTGAAACTTTATCACACATCATTGTACATGTACATTATTATTTAAAATATATAATTTTTATTACAAGAGATATTACACCTCTAATTAAGATGAATGATAAGGGTTTAAATTTAGGAACCTCAAATTAAGATGAGTGATAATGGTTTAAATTCAGGATATAGATAATTTAAGATAAAAGACCTAATTTAGCGGGGCAATCTATCACTTGTGTATTGGTGCATGGCGACCTGTACATTTTCTTCTGCTTCATTTTTCAGAGGGAAATTTTATTTAAACCCAAATAAACTCACTCTACATCTAACTTAAATTTTAAATGTAAATGATCTTTTTTATCTTATTGTATAATTAATATTAAGTATAAGATAAATAAACAATAAAACTAAAAATTATTAATAAATCCACACCCAATCGTCAAATATTTGTCATCACGCAACCTTTTATGAATTCGGGTTCATTAAGCATTATGAGAAGATTAAGAAGACAGAATGACCTTTTTTTTTGGGCATCCAGATGGTGATGCCTTGGATAAAGAAGAGCGTTGCTTGAAGAGTCTTCAAGCACTTGACAAAGATGGAAGACTGACACCTCTAGGGAGGGCCATGGCTCATTACCCAATGAGTCCTCGTCACTCTAGGATGCTCACCGTTATTCAAGTCTTGATTAAGAAGAAGAGTTTCGGAGATAATTTAGTGCTAGCATGCGCAATTGCAGCAGCTGCTGCTTTGAGTTTGTCAAATCCTTTCGTTAGGCAGTTTGAAGATAGCCACAAAGAAAGCCACGACTTAAATTAGGACGGGAACATTACAGTTATACACAAGCTAGAGAAGTTGGGGAGGAATAAACTCAAAGAACAGTGAAAATGTTCCGTGAAATTTTTTCTAATCCCAGCAGTGATACTCTATTTGTCGCTTTTGCTTTGTAATGCTATGAACTTGCAAGATCCTAGTGGAATTGGAATTTATCGAGAGCAACTTTGTAGGGAAACGAACATATGCTTTAATTTTGGGTTTCTATTTTAAATGGGTGTAGAAACAAAGAGACATTGGTAGTTTAATTTCAAATAATTAGAATGTAGAGAGTAAGTTGGATGTAAAAATAGGTTATATGGGTTCAAATAAAATTTTCCTTTTTCAAATAGTCAAAGATTGCCTCTTCCCTTCTGTTTCATTATCACCCATAAGTTTATTTGAGCATAATCTCATTATCACCCCAAAGAGCTATGATATTTTAGACCACACTACTTTTCTTTCTACTTCCAAAATAATAGTCAAATTAGAATGCAGTTATTTTTGTTTTTAGTTTTGTGTTTGGTAATTGTTTTGTCTGATAAAGAGAAACTCAAATATTTCTTCTTTTTTCTAAAGTACAAAAATAAAAAATGAAATAGTTATCGAACATACTCTTAATTGTAAGTCAATCATAAAACAATAGATGGAGATAAAGATGTGGAGCCTATTTGAACTCAATTATTTACTCATTCGAGAATTAGTTTAAGAGAAATTTAATTTGAATCCATGTAACATCTTTCTACACCTAACTTACTCTTTACACTCATATTATGTTTTATTAAAGAATAATATCTCCTTGAACTAAAATTTATTACCTAAACTATCCCCTAAACCCAATTTAAAATATAAAATTATCTTAACACCCATTTATAAAATGAAATATCAAATTGAATAGTTTGTTTTCAAAGAGACTCTAAAGTCAAAAAGTATTCTGAGCCCTTTGTCCACCTCCCTCCCCACCCCACCTACTATCTCTCTCTCTCTCTCTCTCTCTCATCACTAACACCAAGTAGTCACAGTAGTTGTGCATCAAATTGAAGCTGTTAAATGTTTGATGCTTCATGGATGTTCAGTCCACGGACGGAGTTTTCAACAAGTGGGTTGTGTAATGCTGTGAAGAACAAGAAAGTAAGACCAAGATGGCGGCCAAGAGTCCAACATTACCAATGGCTGTTGGAAGTTGTAATGATAAGCTAAAGTGGGTGTTTCAGTTGGGGAGGAGCAGCTTTATCTTAACTTTTAAACTCAATATTGAAACAAACACGACATTCATAGAGATATTCTTTCGAAAATTCCATAAACAGCAACAAAGTTATAATTTTTCTGTTTACAGCTATTGTAGAAAGTTCAAAGTATGCGCAAATACTCAACTTCTAAAACGAACAAATTTTTTTCATAAATCAAGTTATACCTTTGTTGGAGGATTCAAAACTTCAAAATCACTATCCATCGATAAAAAATTTGTGTTTCTCTATAAAAGCTATTTGGATTTTAGCCGGATTGAATGTACAATAAACAAGGAGTCATGGTAGGGTTTGATTTAATTATAATGTGTGGGTTTATTGATAAATTTTAGTTTTATTATTGATTTTATCTTAAACTTGATGGTAATTATGTAATAGGATAAAAAAGACATTAACATTTAAAATTTAAGTTGGGTGTAGAAAGAGATTACACAAATTTAAATAAAATTTCACTTAGAATAGTTTCTAGCAATTCTTTATAATTTTTTTTTTCCTAATATACCCTAGAAGTAGGCATATAAGCTCTGTTGTCAATTTTTTGCACGACGAAGAATGTTTCGTCGCTTAAGATGTACTTGCACGACGAAAAATACACTTCGTTGCGCAAAATAGAAAAGATAGGAGGAAAAAAATGTGCTTGATGAAGAGTTTCGTTGTGCAAGAACACTTAGCGTGATGAATATTTGTTGGCGTTGTGTAAAGTCAATAAGAAAACGTGGGATAATTTTGCTTGGCACGAAAAACTTGCGCGACGAAACGGGCAATTTCGCGACCAATAATTCGTCGCGCAAGTTCCTGTCAATTTTGACCATTTACTACAGGTGAATCCGAGGAATCAATACCGTATTTAATACAAGTGTTTGCATGACAAAGGCTTCGTCGTGCAAGGGTCCTAACCTACTTATAAATATGCGTGTTTGCTATCCTGATTCTTCACAATTCTATTATCCTTATTCTTCAAAATTTTGTTCATGCTCTACGATGTCGGATAAGAACAAGGATGAGAGCGTATGCGATGCCAACCCGCATGATTTAAGGGATCATTTTGAGTTTGCGCATGCGATTACTGTAGCCATGAGAAATAATTGTCCCACTGCTAAGTGGCGTTCTTGGGAAGATGTACCCAAGAATGTGAAGAAGGTTGTGAATGATGAAGTATTAGTAAGTATATTGTTGATGGATTAATAATTAAGTTAGTGAAATTTTTTAGTTATATGTTGGAATTAATTATTTGCATATATGTGTAACAGTGTAAGTATACTCTTGATGATGATACGAACGAACAGTTGATGAAGTTGATGGATAATGTGTTGGAGAGAGGTTACAATCAATGGCGTTCTGAAGTCTTGTGGAATGGACCAGGATCATCCAAATAGTAGTTTTAAATTTACGTTTTCTATGACAATCGATGACGTTCTGAAGTCTTGCCGCCATAGAATAATATTTCAGGTATTAATTATTTATAGAATAAATATTTAAGGTATTATTATAATACCTTAAATATTTATTCTAAAAATAATTAATATTTTTTTCGTCGCACAATATATTGAGCGATGATAACTTCGTCGCGTAAGACAACTTTGCGCAATGAATTCATATGTTTGTCACGCAAAGCATGGTTAGTCTATGTTCAAACCTTCCAATTAAATGCGCATTGATGACGCATTTTGCACGACGAACTTGAAATTTGCAAACGAATATGTTCGTCGCGCAAAGGTGTCCTAGTGCTATATAAACACAGTTTTAGAGCCCTAGTTTTCAAAATATTTTTGTTTCAAAAAGAATGGCTGATTCTGGAGAAGGTTCTAGCAAAAAAAAAAAACCTTGTAGTGCGATTAGAGAAGTATAAACGGAAGCAAGTGCCGTACTTTGAAGGCAAAAATTTGGTTGAGGCGCACGCCGAATTTAAGTATGATATTGGGAATTTGGTGTGGAGGGATTGTTCTGCCGAGTTTGAGTCTTGGAAAAAGGTCCCTGATGAGTTGAAGAAGTCCATGCTGGGAAAGTTATCGGTAAGTTTGTGGTAAATAATGAACAATTATTTTTGTTAAAATGTAATATTTTTTAAATTACTAATTTATTGGTACTGGCATTAATGTAGGTTCATTGGGATGTTGATGAAACTGATGAGAAGCAACGGATTTATGTGGATGGGCTTTTCAAGCAGACTTTTCGACAGTGGAAGTTTGATGTATTGCCAGTGGAGGATTGAAGTTGATGAGAGTTGTTTTTTTTTTCTTTTTTTTTTTGAATAAGATTTTGTGGACTTTATATTAATTTAATGAATAAATATATGTTATGTGGATGAGTATTAATATTTGCATTAATTATAAGTTATATTTGGGAATGTAAATTAGTTTTGTTAATTAATTTAATGTTTAATTAGGTTTGAGTTTTTTATGTATAATAAAATAAAAATTTACAATACATACAAATAAAAACAAAAATAGAAAAAAAAAATTAAAAAATATGCATTGTATTACGATACATTCTTTCGTCACGCAAAGTATTGAAAAGAATAAATTGTAAAGTAAAGGACATAAAATAAAAAAAAATGGTAAACTTGCGAGGCGAATGCTTCT